GGTCTTCAGTGGGGTGGGTGCATCTGCCACACCTGGTCACTGAGCTGAAATTTAAAAATGAGTTCATATGCAAGCATGCAGTGTTCTGAAATGGTTTGAAAACATCCCTGTTAGTGGAACTGTTGCAGTAGAAATAGGATGGGTAGTTAACTCCAAAGAACTAGGCTTTCTTTTATTTTTTTTAATTCTGAATTTGACAGACTTCCCCAGCAAGACTTCACCAGCACTGTGGAGTAGTGCCCTACATGGACTTTTTGGGTTTACAGCTGTGTTAAAGCTGAAGAGGTGAAGCAGCTCTTAAAGCTGAGCCTCGTCAGGAAGGTAGGAAGTGCCACAGAATTCAGGACAATCAGCACTAAACAATAACAAGAGTAAGGGTTAGAGATGTCTTGGAAGGGGTCAGAATAAATGCAGTTCCCTTACAGTCTTTATTTTCTTATAGGCTTTGGAAATGTAAGCTGAATTGGGAAGACTGATCCCTGCATTTTGTGGCTGAGTTCCCTTTAAGAAACGGTTGAACAGCGTCTTCAAAGTCCTGTGGCAGTTGAAAATGGAGGATGACCTGGAAAGGAAGCCATCCTGTAAACGGAGTAACTGATATCTGCTGGGAAGAGGCATTCTTTTTCCCAAATATTTGTCCATGCAAATCTCGTCCACCTTCACTTCTGATTTAACAGACTGAGACTTTGTTCTTTCTGGGCATAGACAGAACCATGACTATCAGCTTGAGCAGTCCAAGTGCTGCTGAGGCAGACTTTCATAGTACAACTAGAAAAATGGGGGATAAGTAAAGCGGTGAATACCATCGACATGGTGAGTGGCTGGGCATGGTACTGGCATCGGCACCAGCACTGGCATTGTCAGCCCAGCCCATCCCAAATGAGCCCATCCTCGTCACAGCTCTGGCCACCTCTTACCCGGGCTCTGGTTTCCCCTAATGGATCTTGCTTGACCCAGAGCTGATGCTCATCCCTTGGAACTAGCCCAGAACTTTCAAAACCAGCCCAGACCCCTCAAAACCTGCCCCATTGTCCCCCCAAGTCACATCAGACCACTTGAAGGCAGCTCAGACCCCCGAAAACCAGCACAGCATCTCACAAAATGAGCTCAGACCACTTGAAACCAGCCCAGATCTCTCCAACTTACCCAAACCAGACAATTCCCTCAAAGG